TGGTGATTAAATGCTATTCGAAATACTGAATTCTGGCAAAATAACTGGACATATGGGTACGTTTACACCACTACACGCACACGCACACACACACGCACACACACACGCACACACACGCAAGCACTTTAAACGGTTAAGAATGAGACCTCCAACTTCGCTAGCACGATTACCGGTTACGAAACTTTAAATTAAATGTCCTTTATTAGTGTTGACATTTCGCTGACGTCATCGCCTATTTCCTCTTCCTATTCTTCAACATCTTCTTCCTCTTTCTATTCTTCAACATCTTCTTCGTTATCAGCACCAACAAAATCGTCATCATGACTTCGCCATTTTTTTCCTTCGTTCGTTAGACAATTTAACGTCAAATTTGTAGGCCTGAGGAAAGGCTGCTTTGTTTGTTTGTGTGCGTGCGTGTGTGTATACGTGTGCGTGTATGTTTGTGTATGTGTGTGTGTTTCTTTGTTTGTATGTGTATGTTTGTGTGTGCGAGATTTGTACAAGTAGGCGCACCTGTGTGTATGTGTGTGTGTGTGTTTGTGTTTGTACGTGTGCGTGTATGTGTGTGTATGTATGTGTGTGTATGTTTCTTTGTTTGTATGTGTATGTTTGTGTGTGTTTGCTAGTATGTGTGTGTGTATGTGTGTGTGTGTATTTATGTATGCATGTTTTTTTACTTAACAAATTTTTTTTGTCCAGGTTAATTGAAAAATATAATTGAGAAAGAAAGATACCTTTGTCGGTATTGTTAGCGTGTACAACATCACAAACAAAAACAACATCGTAAACAACAACAACGACAAAACAGACAACGCCATCAACAACAACAACAACAGCCCCTTAAATGATGTAGACACTTTCAAAAACAAAATTCAACAACGCCAAAGAAACTAATAACAACAACAGTAACAACAACGACAACAACATCTATGACCTCAAAAACATTAAATATGATTTCAGAGTTAATAGTCCTTATTGCTTTGCTGCTTGCATCTTGCAAGTGTGAAATTAGTTAGTGTTTTTCATGTTTTTCTTATTGTTTTTTTTATGCTAATGTTTTTGTTGATGATGTTGTTGTTGATGTCTTTGATGTTGTTGTTGATGTTGTTGTTAATGTTGTTGTTGTTGCTGCTGCTGTAAAGAGTGAATTATGCTCAGAGTGGGATGACAATAGTAATTGATGGATGACTGTCTCCTCAAGATAAATTGATCGTCGTCGTTTTTGTGGCTGTGGTTGTCGATTTTGTGGTTGTTGTGGTTGTCATTGTCGTTTTTGTAGTTGTTGTGGTTCTGCGTCGTTATCGATTTTGTGGCTGTTGTGGCTGTCGTCGTCGTTAAATTTTTTACTGGTTGATGTTGTTATTGTTGTAACAAACACACACACATATCTACACATACACACGGACACACATACGCACATATAACATATACACAAATTTATACTTATTTACGTGCATTTATGCACACAAGTGTAGACACATTCAAGACGTTAAAACATGTGCTACAGTAAAAATACACACACACACATACACACACACGCATACACGCGCACACATGCACGCACACACACACACACGCGGGCGCATATTTCAATTTTCCAACAGCAAAGCACAAGCTAAATTTTTGTTGACTACCCATTTGGTTGTTGATGATGTTGTTGTTGCTGTTGTTGTTGATGATGTTGTTGATGTTGTTGTTGTTGATTTATGTTGTTGTTGTTGATGATGTTGTTGTTGTTGTTGA